CAGCGCTGTCCAAAGACGTTTCCGTGGTCATGTGGCCGGCATGACTAAACACCAAGGTACACAGAACGCTGTTACCTTCCCACCGAAGTGGTACCTATTTATCTACTTACAATTTCTTGTTTTCAAACTGCTAGGTTGACAGATCTTAAGATCTTAATATACTCTTAAGCTAAAATATCCTAGGCAGGCATAGATCTGTTAAAAAAAAAAAAAGAGGACGTGATCTCTCCGAGAGAACTAACTAGTTCCAGAGGTATATGCATAACAGTTAAACAACAGGACAGAGGCCAGTTAAGAGATTAATATGTCAATGATTGCAATACTAAAATGGTTTCTTAAAACTGCACTAACCTAGTAGGTATGGTTTTTTAATTGTTATGTTTCCCCTAACAAGCAATGGACTTAATATGCAAGGCCATTATCCTAATCCTGTTAGTTACATTTCTTATTTTGTTACATCAAACATTGTCACCCAACTAAATTCATTGCTTTGTCACATAAATCTGAGTCTTGGTGGATTTTTTTTATACGGACCATGGAACTAAAATATTTTAAAAAGCAGGGGTATTATCTTTGCCCACCAATATGCTTCAAAGCCCAGTTTATCACACTGGGATTTCACATGACATCATTTACCAATAATAGCTTTATAGAAATTGGGGAAAATATAATAACCAATTAAAGTATAAGTTCCCTTAAACTCAACTGTTCATCCTTAAGCAATTGGTAGTAGGGTAGACCGTGTGAGCCTCATGCTACAAACCTGCACTGGACCAAAACTCGTTACATTTCTTTTTAAAAACAAGCTGGAGGACAGTAAGCATAATTCTTTTTTATTAACAATGTAGCATAACCACCACCAGTGTTCCCTCTAAGCTGAGTTAGTGTGAGCTAGCTCATCGTTTCTTAGCCTCCGACTCAAATATATTTGTCTTAGCTCAGGAAGGAAGGCTCCAGAGCAAACTAATTTATGCAGTAGCCAAATCGCTCGCTCACACCTTTAATGCCAGTAGCTCACAAAGTAGTATTTTTGCTCACAGGTCTCCATAACTTAGAGGGAACATTGACCACAACTACTGTCCATTTGCCTTTCAAGCTATTCCAGGACAAGCCAATGACAGGGAGTCTATTACTTCTGGGTCATGTGCTGGTGAAACCTCTGCAATAGCAGGCATGAAAACCAAATCTCTTTGCTAACAGACCTACCACTTCCATGAGCTTCTAGAAAGAATTCACTACCATGGGGCTGACTGTGGATTAGGAGTGGTACACAAATCTGTTGTAGATGTCATGAAAACTGTTCAGTTACTACTTGTACTTGAGAGCTTAAAGTGTTCTGCCTTCATAGTACATTATCTTCACTCAATCAGCCTGGGAGTACAGGTTCTAGACTAGGATGGTCAGTCCCCATCACCAAACAGGGTGATCTGGTAGTGAAACAGGAACCAGTCTAAGTACAGATGATCAATTGGAGATGCACTTCAGTGCTTGCTTGAATTGCTCTTCCCTTAAAATAAGAAATGAAATTGCCTGGGGTTAGAGATTGATCAATGAAACTAACAGCTTAACTTCCTTATTTTAAATACCAGTTCAAAGGACTGAAGGGAATACATGCCTTATATCACATCATTAGTCAAAGGTTATTCATTATCTCCAATCAAGTATATCCCTTAAAACCAGCTCCTCCTGGAGCGGGAAAGAACAAACTCTAGCAATGGCTCCTATTTTGTTCTGAGATACATGCAGTTCATGATTCCTGAGGAATTACTTCTGTTCAGACACAGTGAGTTTGAAAGGGTGAAGAACAACAATCCTTGAGTGCAAAAGGGAGGTATATATCTGCTTACCACTCACACAGATTTATGCACAAGTTTAAAAATGGTCCTACATTACTGCCAGAATCTTTGCAGCTATTTTCACTAGAGGAATAGTCAACATTTCCTTCCAAAAGTACTCCAATTTAATTGAAAGGATGGGAGTGAGGCTCCTTGGGTTTTTTTTCAGGACAGCAATATCTGGCTATTTGCATATCATTACCTTCAAAACTGCCATCCAAAACATTTTTATTCCTTCACACACCTTGATCTGTACATATTTATGAAAGAAAAGAATGTGAATAATTGGTGAAAGAGTACAGTAGGATTTTTTAAAAGAATCAAATTCTATCCTGTGGGGTTTTCATTGCATTAATGAAGAGGGGTTGGAGTGTGTCTCTGTGTGGGATGGAAAGATGTTTAAATATCTTCTTGTAATTGTTATCTGAGAACACTTAGATTCCTGCAGAGCATTTTACAAAATGTTTACCAAATCATTAAAATGTTAGGTGGAAAACTGTACCATCAAGCAACATGATTTAGAAACAAACAACAAGATTTAGAAAAATCTTGGAAAACACGTTCTAAAAAGGACAGCAGAAATTACATTAGCCAACTCATAGCTTGGCTCACTCTTTAACGGCTATAACAGTTTTGTCTCTTTTCATAATTCTCTTGAAAAAAATTAAAGAACAACAGGCATGTACTTTATTTTGCGAGGCATGTTTCTGGTATGTAAAGGCCATGGCTTACACACAATATAGCAACACTGGTATTTAGAAAGGCAAAGGAACTGTATTAGACATCATTGGTATGGGTGAAAACCCAGGAAACATACTAAGCTTTTAAAGTTTGTGTGCAGCAATCCAGTTTGCTTAAAATTCTGCATGTGGGATGAGCTAGGAGAGATTCACAGTTAGACTTTGCTTATATATTCCAATTTTATAGCAACAATTTTAACATACATCTTTAATGACAGATCCAGGATCTGCATTTTTTTGTCTTCATTAATGAACTGTTGGCTTTAAATAGTAGTGTAAGTTATTATGGTACCTGGAAAAGTGAGGAACTTAGTTAATGCCTAAAACACAGATCCTCTTTTGCTCTGCATTACTGCCAGGCATTGTCATGAGCATCTGCATATCAAATACACTGAGAGGACCAGGAAGAAATTGACTGTGCCCAAAAGAGTGCTGTGTTTGTGATACACAATGATACATTCATGTCTGCAGGGCATGTAGTTCCAAATATGAACTCAGATCCCCTAAAAACCAAAGGATAAAGACTACCATGTCTCCCTTTAAAAACCTGTAGTTTTTTCTACACTGAAATTCCTATGATCTTGAAAGTTTCAGTTCATTGGTTCAGTAGTTCCTACCTGTCACAGCAAAATAACCCAAGTAAGGCTAAGTTAGTATGTAGGACACTTAAGTAGTGTAGCTCTTTCCAACACAAAGAGTAAATGTCCACCCTAGATTGCACTGTCAGTGGACCAAAGTCCATGCTTTTCAAGTCAATGTAGTAAGATAAAAATGAAAAAGAGCACCACATGCAAACAGACAAATAGATTTGGTGCTTAGCAAAAAAAAAGTAGTTAGTGAAAGATATCTGAAAACTTAACAGCACTGCTAACATGTCCACATCAAAACACAACAGAACAAATGACCTCACAGAAGTTCTGAGAAGCCACAAAAACTTTTTAAAAAGGGGCAATCTGCTTTAAGATTGATTCGTTCAGTGTTAACTATCCAAATGTAACTGCATATCTATCTATTAAAGACCCTTACCAATTTCCCCCAAAGTGCTTTCACATTTTAAAGGGAGAATACTCAATGATACTGCTACAGTCACTGTCTGAGACTAGTGATAAATGAAAGATAGGACATTTTGAAATCTACTAACTAGAAAAAGAGACCAACCCGTTCAGATACATAGGTGGTCTACACACTGTCAGACACATGCATGTGAAAAAGCATAACTGAAACAATGAAAGGAAAGTTCAAGGGCACCTGAACTTTACTCTCCTATGGAAAAGTTCCTTGGATGCGAACCATTTTTCATGAACCAATAAAATTCACTTATTTCTATAAGCTTCCCGCCTCTAGCAGGATTCCAAAATCCCTAGGGATCTGGGGAAAGTGTTTATGCAGCAGCACAATGCATATTTCTCAAAACATATTCCAACATCTAGTGGCCTAATGTAAAGTTTGAGTGATTAGACTGATCTAGGAACTATGGTATCCATACCTGCCAAGAAGTCTTCATCCTTCTTTCAATTTCTCCAGAAAGGCCAAGGTTTGTATATAGAACTACTGAACAAAATTATACATTTCACTCCCAATTATAGGAGCGAATATGAAACTTAGTGGGAAGAACGATATCAAAAAGATGTTGATCAGAAAGCTGCACACCTTATCTTGTGTATGACTTGAAGTTCCTGTGCTTTTCTCTTTTGTTTTCACAGATATTGCTATGAATCAAGGAGATTTACAATTACTGTTTTGATGAACGTATTAGTGACTAGTATACAAAATAACAGCTGCTGTGTGTCCTTTTTTGCAGGTGCTCACCCAATAAATAGCTTTTCAACTAGACCCAGCAATGTACAATAATTTGGTAAGCCCATTTTCTGGAGCCAGTAAATAATAGAAGTTTCCTTGTAGCCCCTAATGTTTCATTCCATGAGCCATCCTGTAAAATATATGCATGTACTAAATTATTGCCTGATTTTTTCAGAAGGCAGTATTTACCATGTACTAAAGCAAATGACTATTTGTTGATAAGCTGGAATGTACCAAACCTGGTATAAAAGTCTACATTAGGGATCAAACACGCCATTATATATTCAAAAAGTCTGTCTCAGGACCAGGGCCCTTTATCACCCTCTTTCAGTAGTAGCCTCATTGAGCAAGTAAGTGAAACCAGAAGAGAAACAAACTTACAAATATTACAGCATATTAGATCTATCAGAACAGCTACACCGATCGGCTGAACTGTAAGCATTGTTGATTTCATGAAATACTTCAATTTGGTTTAATCCTTTTAAAAGTGCTTTCTATTTTCATGGATCAATACTTCACTTACAGTTCAAAAGCATTGTTTGCAACTCTATCATGTTTAAACTACAAGCTCCCTCATGCACACACATTTTCCCTTTAATTTTGTTAGGAGTTTCTTACTGTGGTGTTGAACATTAAAACTGGACAAACTCTTTGGGGTAGTTTCTAGACTGTGTGTGTGTCCGTCCCCTAAAGCTCCATCACAGATGGAATTTTTGCTGGTCATTGCTTGGAACCAATTAATTAACAGGATAGAAGGAGGGGGCAGGGGAAGAGTGAAAAAAGTTCTCACATGATAAAAACAGTGAGAGGAAGAAAGGAGAGACAAACAGGCAAAGTCAATTTTCCACTGGGGTGGGGTTTACGGGCTGGCTCACAATGACTTGCACCACATAGTCCCTTGGTATTTTGAGTTCCTCCAGTTTCATTTTGTCTGCCAATGGCCTGCCTGAAAAAAACCACCGCTGACTGCTGGGCTCCACACCCTCCACTGTGTGCAGTCTTCTTTTCATGTGATACACAGTGTCCATACTGCGGACTACAAGTTTGAGGTCTTTGCCTGTGGAAAGGCGTAAGCGAAGCTGGCATTCATGGCCAGAGTTGGGTGGTGGGTCAGGAATATCCAGAGTCTCTAGGTCACCCTTCTCTTCAATCATGTTGATAGGTGGGGCCAGGCAGTAGACAGGAAGCTGGTATCTGTTTCCCAGTTCGTCATAGCACTCTGTAAGTGCACCTTTAAAAGAAAAGAAACCAGGGTAAGTGACACAGTTTGATTAAAGTCATTTATTTTTCTTGAAGTGTTGAATCTAATTCAGAATGGGTTATCCTGGGGCTCCAGTACAGCTTAACCACTAGCTTCCACTCACCAACCTCCAGCTCCAAAACTTTACATTTTATTATCATCAGTGGGAAGGTAACAGCGTTCCGTGCGCCTTGGTGTTTAGTCATGCCGGCCACATGACCACGGAAATGTCTTCAGACAGCGCTGGCTCTTTGGCTTTGAAACAGAGATGAGCACCGCAACCCTAGAGTCGGATTCGACGGGCTTTCGAGCAAGGGAACCTTTACCTTTATCATGGCCTAAAACCAGTTTTGGGAATGAAAGGACAGGAAAAAAACAAACTTAACATAGAGAAATTATGCATAACATATGAAAATAATTGCAAAGATTTTCTTTTCAACTGTTCTTTCCATGTAAGAGTAGTTAGCAAAATCCAGGTATATACCATAATCTTACCTTAAACCCTCCTTATATGTTCTTCTGAAGTGCTGAGAATGTGTTTATATTCACAAAAAACATTTGGAAATTTCAAAAGGCACAAGGGGTGGCCCGCGATACTCGCGGGGGGGGAGAGAAGAGCTCCGTCTCCTCTCCCCCCCGCTCGTTCTCCCCCAGGCGGCGGCGGCGAGGCCGGTCCCCCCCCGCCCGGCTCCGAGGTGGAGAGGCCTGTCCTCCCCCCCTTTAGAGGCGGCGGCAACGAAGCCGGTCCTCCCCGCCCGCCCTGCCTGCCTGCCGGAGAGGAGGCGGCGGTGGCGAGGCCGGTCTTCGCCCGCCCGGCAGCCTGGCCTGCCTGCCTGCCTGCCAGCCGGCTCCCAAAAGGCGGCGGCAGCGGCAGTGGTGAGGCCAGTCCTTCCCCGCCCTCCCCCTCGCCCGCGTGTCTGCCTGCCCGGGCGGCAGGCCGGCCGGCTCCAAAGAGGAGGAGGAGGAGGAGGAGGAGGCGGCGGCGGCGAGGACGGTTCTTCCTCTCCCTCCCTCCCTGCCTGCCTCCCTGCTTCCCTGCTGCCTGTGTGCCTGCCTGCCTGTCTCCCTTCCCCCGCATGGAAGCCCGGTAGGTCGCAGAGCGTCTTCTGCACACGCGCAGGAGACGCTCTTGCACTTTCGGGGGGATTTAAACATCCCCCCGAAATTTTTTTCAACTTTTTTTATTTTTGTGCACATGTGGGGACTGGCCCACATGTGCACAAACCTCCCCCAGCCCCCCAGCTGCCCCCGGAGCGCTAATTTAGTTATCCGCACTCCGGGGGCAAGTTGGGAATTAGATATATAGATGTCATTACCTCCAACAGTAAAGGCATGTTAATCTCCCAGGAATTCGAAAGCTAGCAGATGAACACAGAGAAAGCTTCCCTCAGCTGCCTTTGAGTCTTTTAGAACTCATATGATACACAAATCAAGGTGATAGTATGTCAGGTATCACCAGAAGACAAAACATTACTATATAATGCATTTAGAAGAGAAATGAGTACATTATCTGGTGTTTCCCTATGCTAAATGGTTTAACAGTAGCATCTTCTCTAAGTGGCCAAAAGAATTAGCTCTTCCTAAGGTTCCACAATGTATGCTGACATGGCCTTATTCAGTTCTTGCCCTCCTACTTTGGAACTGACTCACAGAGGAGATGAGAAAGGCCCCCACCACACTGAGCTTCCAGAGTGAGTGCAAAATGGAATTATTTAGGAGGGTGTTTGGGGTCAGTTGATTAGTGGTCTTGGGTCAAGCAAATGTTTGAGGGAGATTCTGAAATATTTATCAGGGGCACTATATACAGGCTTTATTTGCTGGCTTTTGTTTGAATGTCTTTAGTGCTCTGTTGATTTAGTCATTTCATACAGCATCTTTCTCGATACTACAGTGAATTTTCATATTCATGCCCCTAGGTGGGGTACATTCACTTGAATGATAAACAAGCCTTTTCTATTTTGTGCAAGCGTGTACACACAAACACTTCTTCAGGAGCTTGGCACACACTGCTCTAACAGTTTATCATTAGAAACTATGGATTTTAAAAAATTTTATACCTTATTTAATGCAGCCAGCATAACTGGCCAAAACAAACAAACAAAACAAATTGGGTTCAACAGGTTGAGCCCAGGTATACTTTAAGCATAGAACCTTTCTTCATCTCAGCAAACTTCCGGATGGAGGAAGAGCCTCTTCCTCTAGAGGAAGGCTCCACGTTTAGGTGAGCAGAGTAGTAGAATCCAAATCACTATATTTCATTTTTCTTGCTTCACTAAGGGTATCACAAGTGACATTGCTGGCTTTGGTATTAGCCGTAACAAGTGGAGACCCGCAAGAAACTTGCGGAATGGTTATCCTGTTCCTCACACCTTTGCTTCCTCCTGTCTCCCTCTACCTCTCTCACACTTTTTCTTTTTCTCCTCTAGCTATGGCATTATACTGATCTGTAGTTCCTTCCCTCCTCCAATCCCACCCTCCCCAGGCTCCACCCCACAAATGTCCAGGAATTTCCCAACCTGGAGTTGGCAACACAATTTCCTTCCCACCCAACAGCCAACCTACCTTTATCTGCCGCTCTGTCTGCAACTTTCCATTTCCACACCCCTCCCCCGCAGCCTCTACCTAGGAAAATTACTGTTTTTCTCCACAATGGGGACCAAAACAGCTTACATTATTCTCTCCTACTTTTAATCTGCACAACAACCCAGCTTTCATAGGGTGGCTCCTGATGCAGTAGCAAGCAGCTGGGCCTACTTGAGTCATGCAAATCAGGTGGTATCAAGTCACCCAGAGGGTGCTGCCGAGGGATGCCAGCCTCCAGGTGGGACCTGGGGATCCCCTGTAATTCCTGCTCATTTCCAGACTACAGAGATAACTTTCCATGGAGAAAATGGATGCTTTGGAGGGTGGACTCTGTGACATTGTACCCCACTGAGGTCCCTGTCCTC